CGCGGGCCAGCCGATCCCTGCTGCTCCATCTGAGTGACACCCGCGCCAGCTGCTGTTCAGCTCACCTCTGGGGACCAGTGCAATGCTCACGGCATAAGCTAGCAAGGCCCTGTAGGACCCTCACTCCCACACAGATCTATCAGTGTGAAGATGAGCACCACCCATGCTCATCCAGACCCTGCTGGCTGTGGTAAGAGCCAGAGCCATACCTGCAGACAGGGACACTCCTGGGTAGACAGCCTGGGCCCACCTGGGTCCAGAGGGGCTAAACTCCACCCACTCCATCAAGGAAAAGACCCATAGGGGTTCCATGAGGTACCTCCAACACCAAAGTCAGGGTTAGGCTGCTCACCCAAGCCCACAGCTGAGGCCAGCAGGCCGAGTGTGCAACGTCACCCCTCCAGACACAAGGCCCCATTCCCTGAACCCTAGCTCAGGTCTGACCCCAAACCCTGGAATGTGCAAGCTCCTGCAGCCCCTCTCCCATCCCCACTGGAGGGCAGGGCACCCTAAGGGGGTTTCAGGGTAAAGGTGGGCCTGGAGACTGCTCGAGAAAGGGCACCAAGACAGCAGTCCAGGTCCCCACAGGCCCCCCAGGAGAGACAGCCAGGAGGCAGCACAGCACTGGGCCCTGGAGTCTCATCCACACATGATGGGCACACGTGGCCTGGGCTTGAGGCAGGCTGGAAGAGGGGCTGAAGCTGGGGGTCGGGCCCAGGGAGCGGGGGCCCTGCCTTCCTTCTTCAACACACAGGGCTGCCCAGGCCCCTTTCCTGGGGCCCGGCCCACACCCCAAAGATGCCAGCATTAGATGCCTCCAAGGTCGGAGAAGCCCCAAATCCACTGGCTGCGGAGGCCAGAGTAGGCATGGGGCAGGCCTGAGCAGCTCACCCAGAGCCCAGCACACCTGCTCCCCTTCTCTGGCCGGGCCCCTCCCTGTCCCCTGTGACAGCCCCAGGGTGGGCAGCTCAGATATCACTATCCTTGACCTCCTTAGGGCAGAAATGGACATGGGGTTTAGGGCATGAAAACCAGCACAAGCTCCCAAGCCCACTGCTCAGCAGCCCTAGGCCCTGTAGCCCCTCCAGCGGGCAGCCTGTTCCGCCCATGGGGCCCCAGGACCTGATGCCCCCACACCTTGGAGATGCAGAACCAGGGAGGCCTCACCACAACTCCAGACCCTCATTGGCTGGCTGGCCCTTTCATATCCAGCCTGACCACCCAGAAGGACAGGCCAGTGCCTCCTCCTGGGTGCCTCCTTCTGGGCTCCTTCAGGGGCTGCAGGCATTCACCCCCACAGACAGAAGCCAGGCCTCTTGACCCACCCCTCTTCTGATGCCTCCTCCAGGGTCACCTAGAGATCACAACTGCCTTGACCCCACCCAAACCCCTTTCTTCCACTCGGCCAGACCATGCCTGCCCTTGGCACAGAGCCTGTCAGCAATGGGTAGAAGTGCTTCCTTGACATGGTTTGCAAGTGGATGAAATGCCTGCTCAAAGCTCCTGTGTGGCCCACTGTGACCTCCAACACAACCCAGGCCATCCCTGGCCCTTTCAGTGTGCCAGGTTACTAGCCTCCAAGGGCAGGCACTGCGGAGGCCTCCAGGCCCATAGAGAATAAAGGCAGGGGGATATTCTGCCTTGATGTGGGTATATTCTCAAACTGAGTGCAGCCCCACATCGTCAGCAGGTGGCCCTCGGCCCTGGGGGAAGGGGAGGGGGGCTCAAGACACTGGCCAGAGCCCACAGGATGCTTGTGGTGTAAAGCTCCAGGCCTGGGGCTTGTTTGCCCAGTGCCCTGTCCCAAGGAGCCGGGCCCCACCCCCTCCATCAAACCTGGGCCAAAGACCTCCTGAGGTCCCCGAAGACCACAGCTCCCTGGTCCTCAATTCCCATGGCCTCAGCAGGTTAGCACTGGGGGTTGGGAGGGGAGAAACCCAGGACTCCTGGAAGGCTGGGGTCAGGGGCCCTCCAGAGTTTTATTTTCTCATGTTCCTTCCAAACACATTCTGCTGATTCTCAAAATGGCAAAAGCCAAGATGCTCAAATATTAAAGCTCAACAGCTGATAACACACTTGATAATAAAATCAATAATATTTAGAAACAAATTTAATTAAATTCATAAATGAATAAATCATGCTTTTAAATTTAATATGAAACGTGTTAAATTTTATATGCATGCCAAATTCTACTACTTTAGAGCATTAACAACAACAAAAAAACTGAAGGGGGAACTTCCCTGGTGGTCCAGTGTTTAAGACTCCATGCTTCCACTGCAGGGGGCACGGGTTCGATTCCTGGTCAGGGAACTAAGGATCCTGCATGCGGGACACAGCGGTAAACAAACCTGCAAGCCCTGATGCCCTCAGTGCCGGTTTTACTCCGACAGCCTCCTGCCTGGTCCTGGGCCTCTAAACCTCACCCTCCTGCCTTCGCCAGAAGGCTCTGACAGTGCCTCCCCGCCTGCACCGTCCACCGGCCAGGGAATGACGCCATGGCGCCGTATATTGCACATCTTCCCTGTTCCGTCCAACGCTAAACTCCACCTTCCTAGCCCCGGCTTCCTCCAGCGAGCCTCCGCGCATTCGCACCAGCTGTTCCCTCTGCCGGGCGCGCCCTTCCACTCGGGTCTCAGCTGCAGTGACACCTCCTCGGAAGCGCCTCCCTTTCTGCACATTATCTTCTACCCTGCAGTTTGCTGCCCGTGCGTTCTGGCTGCACAACCCCGTCTTGCCCACCAGGCCGAATTCCGCCGGTGCAGAAGCTGAGTCTACACGGTAACCCCTCACACCACTAGTGGTAATCGCAAGAACCCATCCCCGCAATGGGCCCGGCCCGCTGAGCCGCCTCTGCCATGCGGGTCCCCACGGCCTGCCGCCAAAGGCCGCAGCACCTGCACACCCCTCCCCTAACCCCGCCGCTGGCCTCTCCCAGCGCGAAGCTACGGGGTCTGGAGCCAAGCGCCTTGGCACGCCGGGAGGCACGCCGCGAGCCCGGTGCGCACGCGCATGGATAGGGGCGGGGCCGCGGCCCCCTTAACCCGCTCCACGCCGGCCCGCGAGCTGCCCACGCAGCGCAGCCCTCCCAGCCCCAGAGAGCTGCCAGCTTGCCGACCCCATGAGGGGGTGCAGCTAGCCCGGGGCAGCCCCAGGCGCCCCTCCAGAGAGGGAGACAGAGTATAAGCGCCCCGACGCGTCTCTCCCCAAAAAGGCCTTGGCTCTTTAACCCTCTCCTCGCTCGCACTCATTGGCTGAGGCGGTTACGTCATCGCTGCGCGCCGGACGAGGGTGCCTTCCCGCTCCCTAATCCTGACGCCAGAGCGGCGCCCGCCTCAGAGGCTGAGGAGAGCGAGAGGAGGTCGCGGCGGCGGGAAGATGTAAGTAGGGGGAATCCGACCCCATCCAGGCTTCGGGGGCCGCCCGCCAGGCTCGGAGGGGCGCATCGTGGAGCCGGCCTGCTCCCCGGCCACGCGGTGACAACGGCGGCCTAGCGGCGCGGCACAGGGTTTGAGAATAAAGAGTGTGGCCCGGGGCGGGCTGAGTGGGAGGCGCCGAGGCCGCGGCCCGGAAGTGGTCGGGGCCGCGGCGCGCGGAAGGGCGCCCTCGCTTCGTCCGCTCTGCGGCGGGCCCAGTGAGGCCCCCGGAATTCGGAGCAGCCGGGAACTCGGCCTCCGCCCTCGGGGCCCTCTCGCCGGGCTGGAGACCCAGGCCCGCAACGCCGGGCCCTACCCTGGAAGTGCTCGCGGCCCGGCGCCTGGACTGGGGAGTTGTGAGTGAACGCGGACGGTGGGCGGCGAGATCGCGTGTGGGGCCGGTGCTGGTGGGGGCGGAGTTGCTTTGTGGGATGCCCTGGG